CGTACGTCCCTTTCGTTTGTGTGCGTGCGTGCGTGCGTCCCTTCCGTTTGTGTGCGTGCGTACGTCCCTTCCGTTTGTGTGCGTGCGTGCGTGCGTCCCTTCCGTTTATGTGCGCGCGTACGTCCCTTTCGTTTGTGTGCGTGCGTGCGTGCGTCCCTTTCGTTTATGTGCGCGCGTACATCCCTTCCGTTTGTGTGCGTGCATACGTCCGTTCCGTTTGTGCGCGTGCGTACGAAACTTCCGTTTGTGTGAGTACGTACGCGCACGAGCGCGCGCGCGTGCGTGCGTGCGTGCGTGTGTTATGTGGCGCTAGTTGTGAGCCGTCTTCCTAATTTCCGCTTTTTTATCCGATATTCGTCAGAATTTATCATACTTCTCCTAAAGTGTTTATGCATGGCTCTGTGTTGATATCGTGTGAAGTTGATATATATGTCCTACTAACTTATATCATAATGATGTCCGCATATGCTAATTAATATCCGCATCCCTATTTTGTAACCTTCGATCGTAATTGTAACAAAACCCTATCCTAATTAACCTAATATATTATTACAACGGTACGAAAATTCTTCACTATTTGTTAACGTATTTCCCTGTTAACGTATTTATACCAACTTTCATAGCATGTTACTGTGACCAGAAGTATAGTGATATATCATTCTCTCTGCAGCAAAATGTTATGCTTATGATAATTGCGATTTGATTCCGAGTAGAATGTTATGGTTATGTAACAAATAAGTAATGATATTTGTCAAGGAAATATGTTATATCTTACGTGATATTTTTAGGCAATGTGATATCTGCATTGGCTTCTCTAAACATTTTCCTAATTTTACAAAAATTTGTGTTACTTCTGGATTTATATATCTTCATATTTTTGTACAAGAACGTTAAGATATTTGTACCAGAATGTTATAATAATTTTGATGGAATATTGTACTATTTGTAGTACGTAGAATGTTATTGTAATCGTCTCCCTATCTTGGCTATTTGCTCCCTCTTTTATCATATCAGGTTGAATGTATTTGTACGTGGTCCTGGTTGTTTACGCGTACATTCTGTTGTTGCCAGAGCCGTATATATAGATCACTATATACACGGCTCTGACTTATCTGTATCATAGATATATACAAACATTTTTGAGTTTTTATATATCTATGGCTGTATATTCACAAGTATATGTATAAATATTAAATATGTACAAGATATATATTACGAATCCATAATTTTCTATTATGGACTCTTGACATACATTCATTTTTATTTATTTATATAATAGCATTATTATGTATGGTGATAATAACTTGTAGATAATATTTATATTTCTCTAAATGGCCACGAGAAACAACAGCGTTTACAGAATTAAAAATTCCATCCCTGTAAGGAGTTATGGGCAATTTTGTTAGCAGAATTTTGATCCGTTTTGGGAGATCCTTAAATATTACAATATATAGGAGCAAAGCGGCACATTTGGCGGGTATTTTACTGTATCTTTGCGACTTAATTAATTTTGTCACATCTACATCTCTCAGTCAATTACCTTGATACTTCACATGAGGTAAGTTCCCCATAGGTAATTGATAACCGTGAGTTGACCTCTCAATGACCCTATATCATTTGTTAGCTATATTTAGTCTTAGAAGAATTCTACCATAATTGTGCTGTTATTTTCAGTTTGTTTGTTATTGATGCTATGGAAACGGATCAGAAAGTTTAACTTCGTTACTGCCTGTGGAGCAGTACGTCATGGATTTGCATTATATTGCCGTTAAATCATAAACACAAATTATAATTATGCATATGATGGTTCAACTAAATAAATAATGTAATATACGACTAGCATGGTCAGCTCTGGGCCCTGCATGGTACCTATATAAAATGGAAAGAAATCACAATAATATGTGTATTTCGAGTGCTCTAGATGGGCTTTTCAACTGCAGTATATAAACCGTATATTGTCATTCACAACAGCGTATAGCTGACTCAAAAACAAAATCAAATAATTGTTATTTATACATAAAAATACCAGTTAATTTATTATCAATAATGTACATGTACCCAAAAACCTTATCAGTTATCATAAAAAAGTGCATTGCCGAATAAAATATTAAATATACGTTTATAAAAATGTGAAAATCACAATTGTAGTGTGACAATGATTTTGTTACTTGTTATCATACATACTTTATCAAAATTGTAAGAAAACATAATTTCAAACACACATGCAAAACAAGCATGTTGACCCACTCGTACAAGCAAAAATGTATAAAAAAATAAATTTAAAAGGGAATAGTGACATGTATATAAAGTGTGTGTGTGTGTGTGTGTGTGTGTGTGTGTGTGTGTGTGTGTGTGTGTGCGCGCGTGTGCGTGCGTGTCTGCGTGTGTATGTTTGTCTGTGTGTGTCTCTGTGCAGGCGAGTGGTGTGTGTGAGAATGAGAGAGAGGTAGTAGACAGAGATTACATATAGCAACTAGCTGCCTATGCAGACATGTACCTCTGCTCTCCCACTTCGCCCATGAGACGGCAGATATGGATGGATTCTGATATTGAAAAGCATCACATCATAATCATTCATTCATTGTAATTTACGATTTTTGGCAAACTGGAAAAACTGTACACATACATAAATGTGGGGCATTCCACTGTTCACAACTAAAGGTACTCCCTCCGTTAGCATTATTAATGTGGATAGTAGGACATTACAGAAATTAGGTACCCCCACTAATTGTAAATAAGATTGCTATATTATAATGTAGTGTTTGTGTTTGTGTTTTTCAGTGCAGTGTAGCTAGGTGTTTAGCTACGATTAGGTGTGGTTGTGTATGTGTAGATGTATGTGTAGTGTAGTGTAGTGTAGTGTAGTGTAGTGTAGTGTAGTGTAGTGTAGTGCAGTGCAGTGCAGTGTAGTGTAGTGTGCTGTAGTGTAGTGTTGTGAGGTTATTGTAGTGCAGTGCAGTGCAGTGCAGTGTATTGTAGTAATGTGTTGCATGGTGGTGTGTGGTGGTGTGTGGTGGTGTGTGGTGTGGTGTGGTGTGGTGTGGTGTGGTGTGGTGTGGTGTGCATGGTGTGGTGTGGTGTGAAGTTGAGTGCTGTTGTGTTGTGTCATCTCATGTAAGGTACATGTAATCAGGCATTTAATTTGCCCCAAGCAATTACTTTGTCTATATACTCAGGATGACAGGTATAGAAGTAGATTAGTATCTGTGCAACAAGAGCTGCTGACACTATGTAGATGCCATTCTGTGTCTTTCTCTTCTCCACTGTTCCTTTATAATGTGCTATTATCCTGGTAAACATAAATAAATAGCACATGTAAATAACATAACTCATATTTGCTGCGCAGTAGTGTCACTGTTCTCGTCTCCCTAGCCATAGCTAAATCAGCACGAGTTAGTAAAATCAGTGTGATCGGGAGTGAATAAAAACAAACGTGTTTTTATTCATTCTTGAAATGATGTGTTTTTGATATCATTATCAAAATCATGAACATACCTGTGTCTATAGACACGCATATTAATGTAACTAATCTTAGCAATGCATATAACTGTATACCATACACTTACAGAATGTATGTGGTCAGAAGTAACAATCCCACTATTCCTGCAAGGCCTCCGTACAGTGTTACTGTCCTGTAGCTGTAACAGATGTAATAAAGACAGTCGGCAATGTATAAGAGCTAGTAATGTAATGGGCTGGAATCTCACAATCGATTATCGGTTATACCCATCTGATCACCAATCAATAATAAACAGATAACTGGTTAATCAGCAGAGTGCACGCATAACCTCATTTTATCTGAACTTAAACTAAGAGACCTAGTCTGTTTCTACAGTATTGTTTTATAGGGGTATTAATATACCTTCGATTAAGATACCCACAAAATTCTCTTAAAAATGGCTGGAAGACTAATATTATATATGCAGATAATATAATATATATGTCGCGTGCCATAGATTGAGCAATGACAAAAAATTACAGTGGAAGTGACAGTAACCAACGCATCTTTTCTGCACACAGAAAGTGAAAGACTACGGAAGGTACGTTCACAGACTAAGGACAGAGGATGACGACTTGCCAGTTGCCACTATCTACATCCTGATAGAAGCCGACATGTATTGAAAAAGTGAGAATTTATTGGTAGACATCTCATACCAGTCATTGTCATCATATGGCTCTGTGGTCAGCCCATAGGACTGGTGAGCAGTTGCAGATTTTAAGTCCTTGGTATCGTCACATAAAGTCTCTTTCTTCTCACCACCTTCTTCTTCACTAAACTGCCTGGAATCACGCCAGTCACCATGTCTGTGATTCTCTTGACTAGATGACTCATGATTGGTCACTTCTTGGATTAAAACAACATCTTCGACAGTCCATAAATCTGTAATCATCGAAGACTCTTTGTCCTCCCAAAGAAGCAGTGTGTGGCTGTATACAAAGGCACTTTCCTCGCCAGCTTGGTGTATGTTGACTGTCCATACACCTGGATTGAGTATTCCACAGGATAATTTATGCTGGATCCACCAATAGTTACTTGTCCCAACAGCCGTACTGTCTAAAGTGACCATTATCGCTGAATTGCACTTAACCTCACCAGATGGCGCAACAAGTGAGGCTATCAGCTGAAGGTCACCGGCTGATTTCAAATTAATTTTCAGCTTGGGAAATGATGCATAGGCGAGGGATTCATTCACATCGACATTCTTTTCTGAAAATCCAGACAAATGAAAATTGTTGTTTAACAAACGCAATGACCCTTAGCTCCCATCTGATGCAGTAGCACATTTTGTGTAACATACTAGCACAAAATACTTGCATGCACAGCAAACATTTTTCTACACACATCACATCACATCAGACATGTAATTCAATTAAAATAAATGCAGTCTTGTCTGTTACAGAGAGCATGAATATGCGAGACATTTGAGATACTCTAAAGGGGATGCATCTTAGGATAACGTAATGCATAGCAACTGTATTTAATCATGCTTACGCTGACATGTTGCATCAGATAGACCAACATCAAGCAACATATCAAGCCATAAGGTGTCGCCCCCTGCCGGCTCTCCAGGAAGCATTCGCAGCCGTGGGAATTCATCAACAAGTTTTGCATTGTCTGGCTGCGTAGTGATGTGTGTGGCACGTAGGTGTCCCCATGGGTAACATTGTGCAGCCGGCTTTGGGTGAACAGACACTCGTGCTGGCTTGACAGTTCTTTCGCCCTTATTCTCTATCTGGGATCAGAGATATAATAATTTAATTTAATTAATTTCAACCACTTACCAATCTTTGTATCTATATGCTACCTGCTGGGTGTTGACACCCAGACCATCTGCCTATCTGTACATCCATCCTTCCAATTCTCATGTTCACCTCTAACAATTTTTTCCACAATTAGTCTCACTGGTTTTACCTCACTATTTTTCATCACGCTCTTATAGATAGTCTCCTCTAAAGTCGTCACAAAATTAAGGTGCAAAGGTTCAGAATTGTTCTTGTGCAGTAAAACAGCTGCAACATGAATGTGTCAGATACAACTCGAAATCTTCACACGTTTTGCTTCTTATGACCATAAAAACTGTTTTAAGATGCCCTCATTCATGTGCTCGGTGAAGTGGGCCAAACAAAACATTGAAAGCCAGTTGACCTACACATGCTGCATCAATTGCAAACTTAAAAGATTGTATTGATCATACAATAGAAGAATACAGGGGTTTGCAACTGCTGGCCATTAGGACAGTGATCATCTATAAAAGTTTCTCACCACAGTGAATTCAATCCAGTATCTATAGTCCATTAGCTTAATCATTTTTTTCCTTTCAAAGTCGAAGCCCTTGCAACAAACATCGTTTTGCTCCATTGCTGGCAGAAATTTCCAGTTGGTTATTTCCACTAAGCTGTAGGAAGTTCCAGACCTCTGTGACAGAATGTGAGCACTGAACACAGCCAGTTGCCTAAAAAAAGAACATCCATAAAACATATATAACAGATATTTGTTCCTGCATAAATTCACAATTAGAAGCAATCTTCAGATAAGTGTAATTAGAAAGTGTCTGTATAGTATTTCATGAGAAAGGATCAGCTCACTGTTATAAAGAATTCCCACAGCACAATATAAGAACAGGGTGTGAAATTAACGAGAGTTCGGAGTCAAATACTCCCTGATTTACTGTCGCAAACCCCGATTTTGACGTATGCAGGAGTCCGTGTGACTCCCTGAAAATTCTGCCATACTAACTAGTTCGTTCCAGAGCTCGGCCTCGCGAATTACTGTATTTTTTCAGCTAATGTACAAAGAAAATTTGGCAGATGTGCAACCGCATGAATCTTAAAAATAAGCACATGCGCTACTGTTAATATCTTTAATTTTGAACCTCAGACTGCTGACTCCCTCATTTTGCTGCGGACTCCCTCTTTTTGATCCCCCTTCGAGCTTATTTTCATACATATATTCAAAATTATTTAGCAAGCCAATTAAATCTCATGTACCTTATCACACTGTTTGTAACACCTTTTTCTAGGCGTTTAGTGAGACCATTTTTCATCCACGAGATCGTATTCTTTCTTATACTGTGTGTGCTATCGGTTGGAAACTTGCGTGCAAAGAAGGTATGGTATGAGATACTACGAAGACTTGACACATCTTTATTTTCAAAGATAGCTGGCCCCTGTCATCAAAGAAAAATGCAGAATGTTACACTAACCTCGTACATTACCAAACATCAATGGTCATGTGATCGATTCCAGATGTTTATAGCATAATAAGTAAATTACTGTACAGAGACATCATTAATGTTAAACACATGAGCATAATATAAATAAATACACACACACACACACACGTTAGTCTAATTTCCGGGTTGTGTATTCAAAGTATTTTTAATCAAAAAATGCAAAATATGTAATACATTGTAATGTATTAATGCAACTTCATGGAAAGAATATGATGTGAGGCTTCTTGTAACATTGTATCATATGCTATTATTGTGCATGTCACATTTTTATGATTAACATTCCAAAAGGGAATGTTAAAAAAACTTGTAAAGCATTCATTACTCACCATTCCACAGAAATCCGCTTCAAGTCTGTGACGGCATAGCTTATCAACAGTTTCTCTCTGATTAGCATTACAGAAATTCACCATCTTGTGCCTGAGTGTGGAACTGAAATCACGCATAAGAGTTCATTTTATATTTTATATATTTTTCCGTATATTTTATCCGTATATACCAGTTCATAGTGATAGCTAGTATCAAATATACAAATACATCTAAATACACATTCCAGACATGCAAATCCTCTGTCACGAAAAATTACGCTGTTACAATTTTTAGCACAGAAACCCCACACGTTCTAAAGAAATAGTGTTAACAGAATGTATTATTGCTAATGCCTGACTCACTTCAGTGGTGACTGAGCAAGCATGTTGTAAAAATAATGCTCATCCATGACGCGCACTGTCATCATGTACAACTGAATCTCATTCAGGCGGCTGTTTTGTCTTTCCTCAGCTGACACAATGTGCTGTGCAAAGTTCCTGGTGGACATAGAGAAGTGTAGACATCAGAAGAGTGTACAGGAGATTCACAAAGTAACAGACCTCCAACCTACAAACACCCAGATTTTAACCTGGGTTTTAACACCCACATTATTTGAATGTTCACGGGCCGAATCTATGAACAATGATTCACAGAAATGAATGAAACTATGTATCTTGAACCAACAGTGCTCTGACTTCTGAGCAATCAACTCACATGAGAGATTTTGAAACCATTGATTTGAATAATTTCATGACTTCTAATACTTCAAGTCTTATTTGCACATAAAACAAAGAGAGGGCATCTTGCCATGAAAGTGTCATACAGTAATATATTTAATAACTCGGAAGCCAAATTTTTAGATAAATACATAAAGCTGATATTGGAATGTTTTCAGAGAGCAGAAAATGTTTTAAACTTGCTGCTTAGCCTGATCATAATTTACTATCACTTTTTCTCACTAACATCTCCTTTAATAAGACAATGATGGGGCTGTCATGCATACTTTCATTCATAAAAACATACCTTCCAAGAATAAACCAGACAGAGTGGTGAGTGAGACGTCCAATGGGAGAAGCGCCCTTTCTGCCAAGGTTATAGAGGAAATCACAGCCATACCTGAAATAGATAATGGTATTCTAGAGATGGATACTGAGATAGTGAGTCTAAAAAGACCTTTAGCCAGTGTTACCTGCATCCTGTAGCACACAAAAAACCTAACAATGGTGACAAATAAATAATTCACTTGCAATACACAAATCCAAAAAAACCCAGTGGGATACAGATGTAGATATGCACACATGCTCACACATGCACCCAAGGACACACCAACACATGCAGATGCACACATGCATGCGCACACACACACAGAGAAAAAAGGCTTACCACAATGGATCTCTGTCAAGATTCATTTTATTATATGCATAGAAAAATGATTTCCCCCTGTGTGGGGCCAGAGCAGCAGCGATGTCATCTACACTCCTTAGAGGAAGGTCAGCAGCGCTAAGGTTAATCACAAAGTCCCACACTCCCATCCTCAGCAGCTCCTCAAGACACTACACAGATAAAGATATATAACATAAAGTCATAATATGGTATGCTAGGTAGAAATGGTAATAAACAAAAGAACCAACAGCATGCTCGAATTCTGTGTTTCTTGAAGCAGCATTGCCTGATGAGAACCTGTTATAAATGTTTGTATACACACTACCATTTTTGATTTTCACAAACAAGTCACAATGCTGCATTCTAATTCTCAAAATTTAAACAAACATACATATGCATTCGTTTAAAACTTTTCTCAATATAAACGTAGAACTTAAGGCAGCTTTTGTGTTGAGTCTATCTAATAAAAAATTGTTTATGGACAAAATGCCTAAATATAACACTACTTTAATTATATATATTGATAGATTTCAGGGTGAAAACTGATTAGAGTTCTGGTGCACTAAACTTTTCTCACTTACTAATAGCTTATGCAGCTTCTTGTATATATAATAGCATTCTCTAGTTGCAGGTAGTTTTCTAGTTAGTCGTTATGAAGTAGCATACAATGCTAAATAAAGATGACAACTTAGGAACTCTTTTCCTCCCAGCCAAACACACTGTAAGTCACTGTAAATTATCAAAATCTAGTACTAAAACACAATCTAAAAAATACAGTTCTTTATTAAACTCCAACAAAAAGCCACCCTAAATAAAACACACGACAGTATATTTGGACCCAGCTAATGCAGTTATCACAGATATGTACCTCTAGGTGCGCTCGTATATAGTTCCATGATGCCCATGCTGTTCTGAATGACCTCTCTATGGGAAGCATCCTGACATTGCCTTTCTCGCCATACCTATCACCCAGCAGATGATGCAGCTCCATCCTTGTGCTGTTTGACTCCAAGCGAGTATCAACATGAATCACATAGAAATGTTGCTTGCGATAGATTAAGTCAAGTAGCTCCATCTGGTGTAAAGTAAATATTTGATACCAGTTATAATGATCTTCAATATATAATTAACATAGATTCCAGTGCAGAAGAATGAGACGCTTTGTTCCTAAACATGTACCATGATCTGAACATTAAGCATGAGAAGAATGAGAAATGACTGCAATTAAATTTGTTATATATCAAATACACTGACTATCACTCACCACCAGCTCTGCTTTATTATGGACCAGTAGCATAAAGCCTAGTCTTGTTGGAATTAAGGGTAGATGGGGATGTTGCAGCAATGCCATCTGCTGTTGAGGATGAACGCCATTTTCTGGCAAAATGCGCCGTGTAAACTCCACTATACTTGATGGTGACTGTCAATAAATGCACATTTTTTACATCATACTGACTAATCTATAAATAGTGGTAGTATTGTATAACATTTTCATTTCAATTTACTATAAAATATTCATGATTCCCTACAAAGCTTTGGATAAACGAAATTCCTTCTCTAGTTATTCACACTTTACTGCATGGTATCATCCATTGCCTCTGTAATATTGAACCTCTCTAGCAATTAATCAGATGTCCATCGCATGCAAGTGAATTTTCAAACAAGCCTAGCTTCTTACAGCACTTTTAGAGTTGAAGTACTACTACCAAGTCTCTTACTGTAGGATTTACAAACTCCGGTGGAAAACATCTGCCTTGTCGATTGTACTGGAATGCGCAATAGACATTCGTAATTTCTTTCCGGTGGTCTGATCGCAGTACTCTGCCTAGCACTTTCCAGAGGTAGTTTGATGTGAGATTGCCTGGCTGTGGCTTGCTATGGCACACGCCTCGAAACCTGAATTGTAAAACATAACAAAAGTGTGTGGTGAGTTCAGCAATTGACGATGTAGAGCATAGAAGAAGAGTAGCTAAGAATAGGTAGAAATAGAAGAATAGAAAAGAGGAGGATATCATCAGGAGTGGATAATAGAGATCATGTATGGAATAGGCACATATTTAATCTATTGCAAGATGTGTGTTATTTAATTTATATAATATGTAGCTGTTTGGTAAATATAATTATTAATGGAGAACACAAATTATACAAAAAGAAATACCCGAGATTGTAAACGTCTGCTACATCTGCACACTGAACTCCAAACACCTGTGTCTCTGGGATAATATGTGGAAATACTTGAACATCGGATAGCTTTGAAACGCCTGTTTCTATAAAGCTGCTGTGCGTAATTAACATGACATGATGTCTTCTGCCCGTAAGTTGTGAAGGTACTTCACTTGGTACCTAAAAATAGATAAACAAGATAACAATTAGAGTAGTGTAGTGTAGTGTGGTGTGGTACTGTGCAGTGCAGTGCAGTGAAGTGAAATGTGTAGTGTGCAGTGTAGTATAGTGTGTAGTGTGGTGTACTGTAGTGTGTAGTGGACTGTAGTGTAGTGCAGCGCAGTGCAGTGCAGTGTTGTGTCATCGTGTCGTGTAGTGAAGAGTCGTATAGTGTAATGTAGTGCTTTGTAGTGAAGTACAGCTAGTGCAGTACTACTCATTAACTTATGTAGTGTGTGTATTCATTAAAAGAAATAATTTTTGCTTCCACTCAAACATTTAGGAGTCACGTTTGGAAAATTAAGGGCCATTTCTAATAATTCATGTAACATTTTTCATCAGATAATATGTGTCATAATACTCTGTACCAATATAATTTGCATCATATACCTCATGTTTTAAAAACAATTCTTCCAAATCAGCATCATTCTCACAGGTCAGGTACAAGTCCACAACTTTTCTAATGCCTCTGACAGGATCATTTTTACAGAACTCATTGCTGAATGTAAATAGGCAAGCCTGAAATCCCATGCAGTACTTGATTGTACCACATGGTGGCGTTACATCAATGTGTTTTATGTCTAATGCATCAGAAATTGTGTACAGCCAACTCTCGTCTTTTTTGCCCAACTTCTTCAGGAACGACGGCGACAACCGTAGACTGTAATGGATTTTCGAAATGAAGTAGTCTTTTGGGCACATCAAGTAAACGCGTGGAGTAGTTTCCAAAATCTCATAACTGCGTCCAATAATCTCCACTGGTTCCTTCTCATAATATGCGTAGGATAACTGGATCTCCTGCTGTGATGGGTGCTTTATAAAGCCATCAATTAGTACTGGCATAAGCACCACCTAGTAACAAAATACATGTATGAACATAGGATGTTTTTATTCATATATAAACACTTATCAGGAGTTGATAATAGGGGATTTTCCCTATTATCTACTCCTGACACTTATGTATGTCATGTAATACACTAAATAAAACGTGACCTGGTACTAGTGGTATAAAGCCCAAAGATTATTACAATAAACTGCTACAATCCGTCGACTGTTCAATCACCAATATCATCTCACCAATAATATACAGCCAACACAGGTTGTTTTCTTTATGTTCACTACCATTGCTATTGAATATATTGAAATCAGCATTCCTTAGTGACACCATGGACCTAGAAAAATAAGTGGAAACAAAATTATACACCAGACGTCACTAGCTACATTATAGTCTGGATTTATAGTATATTTGTAAAATATTACCAGAAGTAGATAATACTTAATAGGGATTATACTAGTAATTAGTATAGGGATTCCCTATTATCTACTTGAAGTACTTCTGGTATTAGTTTATTAATATTACTTAGCATTTACGATTTCCCAGCCAGACATATCGATACCCCTGTCAGCCACAGGCGCCGCTTCAATGATAACATGATACTGAATATGCACGAATTGTATTTACATCTAAGGTCTAAAGTTTTAATATATTCTCTATCAACCAGATGAGACGGGATACCAGAGAAGTGTTGCCAAAAAGAGGTGTTGATCCTAACCGCTGAGCGCGAATCTTGGCAGTTCCTCGGCAAGGTGCATGCGACCGCGGGAACGTCCTACGACAGTATGCAGCGCTGGCAGCTATGGATTCGTGCGCCAAATGCATAGGCCTTTGGACGGGGGATTAGACACGGGGCAGTACTAGATAAACTAATTAGCTGTAGTACTAGTACCCTAGAGCTAAACTAACCTCGTAGAAACTACGAGAGTGTACAGACGGGCGCTGGATAGAGTTTGGGGGGTTATAGCTAGACTGGTACCCGTTCGCCACCTTCACTCCGGCAAGTATCCTTCGCTACACTGGAGTTAGTTAGTGTAGCATGTGGAACTGTCGACCGGGGAGCAGTGTAGGTTATAGCCGGCCGAGCCGTCTGCAGGAGTCATAGCGAAATGCTATGCATATAGCCTCGTTGCGCCATCTATCGCAGGCCATATGTACTACACTGTCACTGATATGGGGGCCTGAACTAGTCGCTGGCACAAAAAAGTTCTACTCCGTTTTTTACAGCAAACCAAGCGCGCCGAGTAGCGAACCAAGAATTACGACCATTTCTAGGAAATCTCTACCTACGTGGGTAGTCAAACCCGTCGTGCAATCGCCAGAACTGCTCAATTCAGCGATTGCGTCTATAGTGGACCCGTTGAAATTGCTATTCAATGAGTGCAGCATTGTTGTGTTAGTGTGCCGCTACGCGGCGTTTTTCGCGCTTCGCGCGATATCCGGGCTGCCGATCGTCTAGGCCTAATAATTTCACGTAAATGCCGTTCAAATGCTCCTCTGCAACACAGTCTCCCTACATGCTTGGCATGCCACTGTGGCTCATAGGGTCTATGTCCCCCAGGGTACTGCCGGAACGTACCCTGGTAACTATTTGATATGGTTAGGGTTAGGGTTAAAGCCGCACTATGCGCATACAAACGCTAATTTCTCCAGTACTAGACTAGCAAATACTTCGTGTCATGCATAATCACCAGGGCTCGAATTAACCGACGGCACCGACGGCAATTGCCGCCGGTGCCCCTATCAATTGCCGTACTGCCCCTGAAAATCCAACTCGACCGACGGCAGTCACCTGCCTTGCCCTTTTGTGTAATTGCCGTCGGTGCCCTTTAATCTACTGCCCTAGTTTCGTTTTTAGTCGAATCAACATAACACGTGCGCGTGCGTGCTGTAGTTGCAATGATGAGCTTA